AGGGTTTCATTTTTAAGTTTCACAATCTAGCTGACGGATTAAATTAAATATATTTCTTCAGTAGATTGGTCTAAATAAATTAATTAGGGCAAGTGGGACATCGGACAATCGTTTCCTTCCGGCCCTTGGCTACGCCACAATTAAAAAATTGTTTTACCACCTTTTTCAATCAGAGCATATATTTCACCTTATTTTAACTCACTGCCAACTGGAACCGAGAGGTCCATGTATTAAACCTATATTAGAGAGATAATTCAGTGATAATAAGGTCAATAAGAACCTTGATCAGGAACCACCAATACCTCGTTTATGATATAGAAGGACATTTTATTTTCTTCCCTTGAATTGATTTTGTTTTCCTTTTGAATGTATCTTTGGCATTCTTTCTCTCTCTCTCTCTCTCTGTCTGGTCTAGATCGACCTGGCTTCCATCAAGACCATGTTCAAAGAGAAATACACCACCACCCTGGCCGCCATGGTCGAAGATGATACCAGTGGAGACTTCAAGAATGTTCTCATTAGTATCATCAACGCCGATGCTGCACCTACCCCAGGCCCCACCACCACCTAAAGACCGGCTGGAGTCATTCCATTCACCAAATTAACACAGTATTATAGCTGTTACGTATTATGAAGAAAATAACTTTACCAACATTATAATTACTAAGCCACCTCATGAATAGCTTACACTAGTAAACCGTGTACTCTCATAACTTCACAGGCGCTACAAGCTCTTGACAAGGAGCCAATAATGAAGGTGGCCACTTTAGACAGGTAGATACATGACCACTATCAAGACTACACATGTTAGGTACAGGAATATGACAAAACTCACTGCCTGATGAAGTGGCCGTGTTTCAGTTTACATCTACCTTGATGCCATATCATCCACATGTAAGGTTATGAGAGTACATTGTTAACCAGTGTGAGATATTCATAAGCTGGCTTACGGATTATAATGTAGGTACAGTTAGAAATGTGACTATTTCATAATGCGGTACAGGATAGTACCGTCTGAAATTGGTTAAACGGATGCTGGAGTACCATCGCATCAAGCGATATTATATATCGAGTATATCGGGGCATGTGCAAATAAATGTTACGTATATAGCGCATCATATTATAAATTCACTGTGCTCATTACAGTCTTAGAAACAATGATTAAACATCATCAAATCCCTTTATATCACTATATATATATACTACCAATATACTAACACTTGTAATTCATATAATCATAATAATACTTAGCATATATGTGTTCAAAAATGTTATAAAATAGTATACTATTGAAGAACGTGTACAGTACATAGAAATGTTTGGTTTTGTTGGATAAAAGTAGGTGAGTATTTAATATAGATGTAAATTAGAATGCACTGTGGTTTGATCTCATTCCTGTTTGTAATATTTTGGAATATTCCGAGGGTGTTGTAGAGTCTTGACCTTTGGAATGTTGTGTAGGATTAAGCAATCATGACAATAATATGAACACAAGCTTCATAGAACAGAAGCTCTAAAACTTTCAATTAAGGCCCATTTATTGAGATACATGTATGGTCCAGGGCATCTACGTGATTTCAAGGATATATAAACATCGCACATATTCACTCCCACAGCAACAAAATAAAATGAAAGAAATTTGTCTAGCTTCACCACCTTTTCGGTGTTTAATTACTCAATTACAGTGATCATACAATATCTAAAGCGACGAACAAAATAGAGAACATATGCAGGTGAAGATTACCATATTCATGATTATGTAAATGATATTCATTACATTTGAAAAAGTGAGATTATATTGTATAGTTCAATGAGTGCAGGGATTTCAAATCTAGTTTCTGTGAGAGTTTTTCTTATCTAATGGTCAGATAGTAACATTTATGTTCTAGAAACGAAGTGATATATTTGGCATTATTATGTTGTGGTAACAACATAATCCACTATCATTGTAAAATATCGTTATTGAACTTCCAATACTTAAAAATGCATTTGTTTTTTGGTTGCAAAAACAGGAAAAACAAATTACGTGTTCTTATTGACAAACCGATACTCATGTAGCATAATCCTTTGATTTTATCGAAAATATGAACTATTACTCCTGATAAGTGACACAATGAAAAAGTACGTGCAAGTGAAGATTACCATATTCATGATTATTCATAGTATCATATTCATGAGAGTCATTACATTTGAAATAGTGAGATGAAGTTTTCTAGTGTTATATTGTACAGTATAATGGGTGAGGGGATTTGAAATCAAGTTTTTGTGAAAGTTTACCTTATCTAAATGGTCAGATATTAAGAATAACAGTTGAAAAACAAAGGGGAACCGGTTGCATTAATACATTATGGTAACAACATATTTCACTATAATTGTAAAGTATCGTACCTAAAACTCTACATTCTTTTTTTTGCACAAACAGAAAATAAATTACGTGAAATTACTGGCAAGCTCATACAATTGCAGCATAATGAAACACAATGAAAAAGTAACCATGATAACGTTCAATCATGTTGGATGCTGTTATGAGTTTTGTCACGCTTAGCGTTTGTACCGCGGTTCATTTGTAAACTTAATGGCAATACTGCACGTTTCGATATGATTTGTTATTAGGATTAAAATTAATAAAGAGATATTTTTTACATTACAATGAAACTTCCCAGGGTTTTCGAAACCATAAAAGTGTAACTTCTTCCTTTCGTATTTATTTGTATTAAAATCTGAGTTCTTGTTAAAATGGGTTAAAGTTATTACCATTTTCCGTAACTGGTAATGCTGATCGACCTATATAATGAACGTATTCAGGAAGCAGGTTAATTACCTTCAGTAACCTTTGATATCCCATAGAAATGGTCAAATTACGCGTTGCGGCACTGTATAATTATTTGCACAATAATGGAAATCGGTGATAAACATGGCTATTCAAATCGGCTTAGGTTGATTTTTGTTCTCGAAAGTTCTTTGCGATCGTGTTTTCCTTTAAGTTTACCATTATCATAGTAATATGTCCATACGAAATGTATTGCTATGAATTTTACACTGATCTTGATAATTGTACTATCAATGAAATCATTATTTCAATGCTTATAAGTTATATATCTAATTTATTCCGTCTTTTTAAGTATTTTAGATAAAGACAATATATTTCGTTACTTCAGGAGGTGCAGGGGACGAATCGTAAATTGTTATTGCATTAAAGTAAGAACATAAATAATTTTTCTGATTTTCTTTTGTTTTTTAGTTTTTTGTTGCTTTCATGAATAAACAAAAATATATATATTGTTCATTCAATTCACATAAAATAATAAGAGAATGATATTATATACATAATTTGTCATAATACTACAAGATATTGAAGTTACATTACAGTGAAATATATGATTAAAGATCGCACATTTCCATTTTTCCATCTCCGTATCAAACTAAAACAACTGCATAACAAAGCATGTACATGTTTAGTTACTAATTATCACATAAATACAACACAATCATATACAGTTGGAAGTTATTACTCATTTATAACAATATAACATGTTGTGCAATGAATGAATAATATTTCAAAAGAGCCTCCCGCAAACACACATACACGCGCATAATCACAGACACACAGACAGACAAATATAAAATGTGACCTATCCACCCTCCCTCTAGATCTACATACCCAAAACTATCCAAACTCCACAACAACCCCCCTCCCCCCTCCCTTTCCGAACCCAGCTACATTTACACAGTAGTTGGAAATCCAGTCATTTCCATGTCCCACTGACCAAATTATATAAAATGTTTGAGTCTGAGATAGAAATATTTACGATGTTACCGATACAAAAATGGTAATCAGATATTTGGTAACAGTGTAGGAAAATATAAGTGAGATAGACGGATTAAAACTAATGCTGTTGTCACAACTCGCCGTACGTCTTTTTGAACTATCTTATGATGCACTAAATTTAGTTACAAGCGCATATTTAATGCAGGAAACTGTTAAATTCGAAGATGAAACTCGAAATTCATAAATGAACAACACCTTTTGGAAGTCATAACTTCAAGAAGACTTTTCAATGTTAATCAACAGTTGGCCTACACAAGCTTTCCCTATCACAGACACATTGCATGGGAGGTAGGATGGGATGTCCAAAGTTCGCGGACATTTTAAAGCAAAAGAATACCATATCGATCCATAATTTCTCATATCATACACAAATTAATTTAGATCAATTAGTATAAAAGAATGTCCAAATATTAGACTACAAATAGGTTCAATTAGACAATTTATCTTCTTAAGAATTCTTGCGATTTCGCGATCTCAAAGTTAGATGCCAGATTAGAACGCGCTTCAGCAGAAGAAAGGTCATACAACAACGAGAACTTAATTGGCACACAAGAGTTTACTCGAGTGATTTATCAAAAAAGCAACTCATTATTAAAAGGTAAGGTAATTGCATAAATTGCAACTCAATATAGCAATCAATCAGTTGGCGTCACTTTTGACTAACAATTCTGATGACATTGTCTGTCAAAATGAACATTTCCAGAACCTTGGTGATATCAGAATTTCGAAATCTTACCGATTTTTTGAGATATGTAACAGTCTACAAATGAAGTTCACACGCAAACTATGTTCACACCACCATACGTATGTACAATCCAAGAAAAGGTTGAGTGTTCGCAAGTATGAGAAAAAATTGCAAGCTCTCTCGTTTTTAACGTCATTTTGGAAGAATACCACAATAAATAGCTGAAATGTTTGGAAAAGTTAACATGCCATGCTACATATTTCTGTAGTCCCATAGACACATTTTTGTGTACATGGTATTCAGTACTAGAGACTTTCGGCATAACCGTTCGAATTTCTTATCATTTGTATGATTTAAAACATCACAGTATACACCAATTCTGTGTGCTACCATATATAACAATGTTCAACCTTTCATAATCATGCTAATTGCGTCCGGACAGTTTACTTCACACTAAAGACTTAGGACCAGAACTCAAGCTTCTTCTTAAACGGGTATAACATTGTTCATTTGCCGGTTTGATCTCATGCTCTTCTGGACCTTTGCCCAGAAGACCTCCTGACCTTCTTCATCCTCTGTCCACAGAAAATAAGGCTTGTTCCGACTCAGCAAGAGTCTAACAAGGTACGGTAGATGGTCATCATCGATGTCTTCAAGGAAAATTAAGATGACCTTCTCCAACTTGGTGTCATTCATGTGCTCCACTGCCATACGAAGCTTGGTCATGTACCAGGTATCATCTACAGACTGGTTGCTAAGCAACAATATTGTCTTGTGGCTGTTTTCGATGACGTCATAGATGGCGTTCAAGTAGAACGATCCTGGGTGAAGATCGGCATCACCAAATATGACGCGCTCCAGATGAGCCATCCTCTGCTCCAGAAAAGGTTTCATGCAGTCATCTACCCACCATTCATCGTCTTCATGGAACATGAGGTTGAGTTGGTATTCATAGTCCTCCGGATTTCGATCTTCAGTGATCTCATGGTAACCAACGATGGCCAACTTGAGGAGATACAACTTATAGTTTATCCACCAACGGTTCAGATACATGAGTATACCGAGGGTTAACACTAAAATCGGCGCAAAACATGCGGAAACGATAATCATGACATTGATCCCACAATATACATTCGGATGGAACGACCAAATGTTTTGATTGACCAACACCTTTAAGGAACTGCTAGAACAACGGGTTTGATTCTCTGGAGCAAAATCTATTTTTCCTTCAACCTCGTTCAACCATTGTCTGAACCAGGCGAGCTTGCAATCGCATGTTAATGGATTGTTTGCGATATTGAATCTAATCAAACTTGACGGCATTAAAGTGTTGGAGGCTACGGTCGAAATGTGATTATTTTGTAAGTTCAACTGTTGAAGTTCCTTTGTGCCCATAAACAGCCCTTGCTCAATGAATGTAATCGAATTGTACTGCAGCTGCAACACCCGTAAATGATGCAAACCTTGAAAAACGTCTTTGGAAATACTGGTTAAGTCATTACTAGGTAGGCTAAGCTGAATCAAGGCCGTTAAGTTTGCAAATGTTCCCGAGGCAACTTGTCGTATACGACAACTTGTTAAGTCTAGCTCAAGAAGACTTCCTAGCGGTGTGAATATGCCAGGAAGAGCGTGCAGGGTATCTAACATGTTGTGCCGCAGGTTAAGGGTCTGCAAGGAGACCAAGCCTGAGAACAACGATGTCCCAGTCTGTATATTAACTAAATCCTCAGCTTTGAGATGTGATCCCGACATATTGAGAACCCTCAGCGCAGATGTGTTCGTGAATTGGTTAATTGATGACATTTTTAACAGGCTATATGAGATATCCAGATTAAGTAGATTTTGCATATTTCTGAACGAACCTTTCATGTTAAATTTTCCCAAATTATTCATGATGAGGAATTCTAAGGAACCGATTGAAGTGAGAGCGTCATCTGACATCCGCAACCGATCGAAATTGCCAGAAACATCAAGTTTTTTCAAATTTCCCAAGCCAGTGATGTTGTCATGATGAAGGGAAAAGAGGTTATTTTTTGTAAGAACAAGAGTCTCAAGGTTAGTTGCCTTCCATGGCCCGGCCGTGATGTGATGTATGCCACTTTGATCTATCATCAGGCTACGCAGAAACCAGGATCCGTCAAACCATTGGGGATCCAATGTCATGAGTTTATTACGTGACAAATCGATTGTCTGGAGATTCGCGGCGCAAGCGAACGAGCCGCGGTAAAGTGACTTTATGTTATTCCCAGACAAACGGAGTTCTAACAGTGAATCTAAGCCACAAAATGATTCATTATTGATGCTAGATATATGATTCTCTTGAATGTTAAGGACTTGCAGTTTTTCAAATCCACGCATAGCATAGCCTGGAATGTCTTCTATGATGTTATAATCTAAATAAAGCTCTTTAATCAATGGCACATTTTCTTTTCGCATCAACGATATGTTCACTGGATGAATATACTTTATGTCTGAAGAATCGATCAGAAGTCTGTCGATTTCAGGATGGCCCATGAAATACCCGACGTCAAAAGTAGCTAACTTGATATGGTTCATGTTCAGAGTACCTAATTTGGGCAAATGTTGAAACGCCTTAGGTTGAAGAAACCTTATATTGTTATTATATACATTGAACTTATCTACAAAGCAATTTCTCCAAGGTAAAAAGTCGTCCTCATTTATAGAAGTAAGTTTGTTGAAGGATAGATTAACTTCCGACATATTCCGCCATACATAAACGTTTCCACGCTTCTGAGTACTCACCGAAGTGCTAAAGATGTTACTGATCTTGTTGTGTGATAGATTTATTATATATAAAAGAGCATTCTTCTGAAGATAATAGATGGGTAGAAAAGTAATCAGGTTAAGATCTAGTTTCAAGTCCTGTAATTGTGGTAGAGGTTTGAATGTTCCACTATCGATGAAAGCAATGAAGTTGTGACCAGCATACAATCCTTCAAGTCGGTTGTAATTCATGAAAGACATGTTTACAAGTTCTGTTAATAGGTTTTGACGGATGGATAAGCCCAGCAGGCCATGCGGAAGGTCTTGGGGAATCGAGGTAAGATTGAGATGAGCGCACTTAGCGATGTAACGATCCTGGACCGGGCATGTATAGTCTGGCTGCGTTGAAACGAGATGTATGTCCACTCTTACTTTCTGCACGATACCTCCCAAAAATATTACTATCAAGATCAACACTTTCAGCTTCAAGGAATCCATTGTCAGATGAGCCATTCTGATCGTTCTCCGCAAGTACACTCAGCTGTTTGTTGAAACCAAATTAGCGATAAAACTGCTTTCCAATGCTTGGTTTCTGAATTGAATGTACTATAGGTGCTAGTTTTGGCAACATTTTCGTAGGCACCTAAGTCATAATGAGTCAGCAAGAAAAATATTGTATAATTATTATGTATATCAAAATCAATCAAATATACCACAAGTTCAGTTCCAGCTTTCGTATTTATGAAGCAAGTGGGGTTTTTATACCATATTGCTGGCTTCACGGCTGTATCTATGGTTTCAGGAAAAATGGGCATAATATTATTACTTGCAATAAACAATGCAGTTTCTTAAGAACCGTAAGTGGCTTTTTATGACTTTATTGCACAGTCTCCTTCAGACCAGGAAATAACTTGTTTCACACACTTAAATTTAAGTGATTATCTATGATCAGCTAGTCATTAATTGTTTTGCAATGGAAAGAGAAAGACTTATATCACAATAATCATGAACATTAATCAGATGAAGTCCTTGGATTTTCTCATTATGTTCTCTTTTTCTTAGTATGATTTTTTCATAATTTCTCTGTTTCGTTGTTGCTGAAGTATAAATAAAGTGTTGTACCAACAATATATATACATAATACAAGCTTTGTTTTTTAGTAAATTCCCCACTTTATTGATTGATTGATAATTATGATTGTTTTCTCTGTTATAACTATTATCATGTACATTATGTTTTCTATATTGTATGTTTAGTTATAATAATTACCATTGTTCATTATGTTCAGTTATCTTTGATAAAGTGAAATAAATAAACTTGAAAAAACTTGGAAATATATATTTCAAAATATACTCTTTCACAACGCAATTTTCAAACGGTTGACGCATTTATATGTGCTTGTATTCAAACGATTTAACCAATTGTTTCTGAAAATAGTGTTTGTGAACTGTGGCAGCAGCGTGTCTTTAAAGGCTTACTTATATTGACTTATTTCACAACTGATAAACCATTCAATAACTAACAGTAAGAGTCAAAATTGTTTGCTAGCAAGTGGATTAACTGATTGTTTAACAATAAGTGCGTTTTAAGTGTTTGTATACTAAACACCTAAACACATGTGTGTGAGGGCATGTGATTGGATCTCGGGGACAAAAACATGTTAGTAAACAAACGCTTGCAATTTGTTCAGTGTAGTTGGAATATACAAGTGACATTAATTGAACTTTACAAGCTCTTTCCATGACCTGATGATAATCAATCGTAAGCTCTTGTGAAGATCAATCCATGCCTCTTGTATATTTCATCAGGCGCTGTGAATTTAATTGTTTTACTATTTTCACTATGCATCTCGTTGGACATAGTTGCTCTTAGCATGTCCGACACACCTTGAACCTTGAAGAATTACTCTCCCAAAAGCGTGAACGCTGTCCTGGAGTCCTGGACAGAGTGAGTCCGAAAAAAATGTCCCACTTTTTAAAAGTTGTATTGTTTGAAGTATAAATATTTAATCATGGGTTTCATGATATGTCTAAATAGAGTTATCCTCCAAGTACATTTGGAAACCATTTTCATTTGAATCTGCATGCCTGTCTGAGCATCAGACAATCTTTACAAGATTGCCAGATCTCACTTGCGCCAAGTTACTGGGTGAGGATTAAAACAGTGCATTGAACAAAGGCAGTCAGGCAGACGGACACACACACACACACGCACACGCACAAAAACACAAACACACACATGTGAATGTCCATGTGTCTGCATGTGTGCATGTGCGTTTGTGTTTGTTTGTGTGTTTGTGTCTGTGTGTTTGTGTCTGTCTGGCTGTCTTTATTCGTAACACTATTTTATTCCTCACCCAGCAACTTGGCGCACGTGAGATCTGGCAGTCTTGTAAAAATTGTTTGATGTTCAGTCATGCATGTAGAGATTCAAATGAAAATGGTACCTAAATGTACTGGGGATAAGTCTATTAAGACATATCATGAAACCCTTGATTAAATATTCATCCCTCAAACAATACAACTTTTAAAAAGTGGGACATTTTTCTGACTCACTATGTATATATACATGTATATATATATATATATATATATATATATATATACATACATTATTAAGAATAAGGTAATGCAAAAGCATTATCAAGTCATAATATAACACGTTGTCCTTAAAATGCATATATTGCATAAACTGGCCCCATGGAAGACCAGAAGCAACAATATAGTTGCAGCTGAAAATGGGCTACCAGCCGTATTTTGTTCTTTTTCTCTGTATGATTAATTTGTATTTATTTTATCTGATTTTATTATACGGAAATAAAAACAACAACGCACAGAGAGTTAATACTACTCTATATCATGTCTATTAAAGAATTTACATATACTCTAAATAATACGAATCTTGATCGAAATCTTATGATAGAAAAGTAATAAACAGAAGAAAACAGAATAATTTTCTTCACATATTTCAATTCAATTAAATTCCATTCTAGTTTATTGTTAATACAAACATGCTGAATAAAAAGTTCGGAGACTCATACAATTCAGTTTACAAATTATAAATACATACAAGAATATAAGAAATCAATACATTAACTAAACAACTAATATAAAATAATCGTAAAATAATACATGTTGTCATTATTCAGTTATAACATTTAAATAATAAAATATTTTATTAGTGATATCCATTTATTCATTCAGTCAACACTTGCACTAATTAAGAACACAATAACAGAATGTTGATACTTCTAAAATTATTTTAAATAAACATAATGGAGGCTTCTTATAAATACCAGGATACTTCCACCTGTTGCCACACCTTAAACCCTTTAAATATCTTAACCATTTGGCATAATTTCCTTGATTACTTCTAATCATGAGGACGCCCTGAGTGGATATGATGTGTATACGAAATTTCTGCAACGTCATTATCTATCATTTAATGCTGTGAATTAGTGGCTTGCAACGTAACAGTAGTTGTAGTGGTAGCAGTAGAAGTGACAGCAGCAGCAGTAGTAGTAGAAGTAGTAGTAGTAGTAGTAGTAGTAGTAGTAGTAGTAGTAGTAGTAGAAGAAGGAGTAGCAGAAGCAGCAGCAGCAGCAGCAGTAGTAGTAGTAGTAGTATAGTAGTAGTAGTAGTATAGTAGCAGTAGTCGTAATGTTTTTTTTAATATTCATTTGGAGCCAACTGGCGGAATTGCAGAATTTCGTACAAAGTAGAAAGAACATAGTAAACAACCATTAAACATAAACAAATTGAACAATAACAATAATGCATTAAATCAGACATAAAATGCATTGAAATTGAATTGAATCTTGTTGGTTTAAATAAACAAACATACAAGTGAATTACACATCGATGAAAAACATGAGGAACGATGAACATGATCACAGAATTACGTTGTTCTTCAGAGAAAACTCGGTAGAACTTGAAAAAGCAGAAGGGTGGAGAGCGCTGTAACATAAATGTACCCATTAACATCTGGGTGGAGAGTGGCAACTATGAACAAACGAAACCTTAACCATTGGATTGGGGGTCAAGTGAATGAACCACTATACTATAACACATCCACATGAACATCTTACCCTTGAACATCTTACCCATTTAGCAAGATTTTCATGATAACTTCCAAACATGAGGACG